ATCAAATTAAGGGCAAAAGAGGGCACTGTCCTGAATGATGTCACATATTATAGGAAACTTGTTGGGAAACTAAATTTCCTCACTAATACTAGGCTGGACATTGCCTTTAGTGTTCAACACCTCAGCCAATTCATGCAGGATCCTAGGGAACCTCACTTACAGGCTGCTTTCCGTCTCCTTCGCTACTTAAAATCTGATCCTACACTAGGCCTGTTTATGTCAAAAAATGCTGATTTCTCCGTCAAAGGTTATTGTGATTCAGACTGGGCTTCATGCCCTGATTCTCGAAAGTCTGTCAGTGGGTATTTGGTGTTGCTTGGGGACAGTCCTATAAGTTGGAAATCAAAGAAGCAGGAGACCATCTCTTTATCCTCTGCAGAGGCTGAGTACAGATCACTTCGAAAGGTGGTAGGTGAATTGGTTTGGTTGAGTCGACTACTTTCTGAATTGAATGTCCCTTTTCCAAAACCAATCTCAGTGTTCTGTGATAGTCAATCTGCATTGCATATAGCTAAAAACCCTGTCTTTCATGAACGAACTAAGCATATCGAGGTTGATTGTCATTATGTTCGCCAAGTTCTCCATGAAGGCCTCATCACACTGCATCACATTGCTACTCAGGATCAGCTAGCAGATATTCTAACCAAGGCTTTGACTGGGATCAAACATTCCTCAATCAGTATGAGCTAAGTGGTGATGATTAGAAAAAAGGGCCTTAAGGGAAGAGGCGTTGGAAGTGGAAGCTGTGTCAACAACTAGTGTAGTAGGGGACTTAAGTTGTGGGATGGAATGGACATAGTCATTCTGTATTAGTACACTCGTTAATTAGCTTGTAGTTAATTAGTTTGTACAGTCCGTCAGTCAAGTTGTTAATTAGTTTGTTACACTTTCCACTAGTTTGTTAATTAGTTTGTTACACTTTTTCCTCTGTATATATAACTCTGATAGGTTGAATAGAACTTTAACTTTCCATTTCACAAATAACCGTTTCTCTGAATTCTCTCTCTGTATTGATATGGCGGAAGCCTCCATTGTTGTATCTCAAGTTCACTAAGTTTTACAGAGTTTTTATTATAAGAGTGCATTATTTCGAGTTAAAATTTTAAAGTACAATGTGCATTTAGAGCAGTTTGCTTTGATTCCCATGCTCTTCAATGGTAGGGCGAGTTTCTTCATATACAGAGTTGAGCTTCAAAGTGACTTCGTTTTTTTATCCCCTGCATGACATTGGTAAAAATATGAAAGAAAAAGTTGTCTACACGATGAAGTGTTACAAAGAAAAGGTAATCATACCTCGTACTTGGTGACTTCTTCTCGTGCTTCCTTTGATGACTTGTTTACGACTGGAAGATTTGACCTTCCGTTTGGGTGTGCACCGTGACTTCTTCCACTTGGGAATGCGTTGAGACTTCATCTTCGTTGTTGAACCAGATCCAATATTATAATTCTTATGTGACCTATTACTTGGTTCCACCTTGTATCTGCAGTAAGAAAGCCAGATTATAGTATCATAGGTACTACTTGAAAATTTTCTCTTATTACTGTTCACAATTATATCATTTGTATTTGATAAATTTTCTTTGTAATGATGGTGATGTCCGCTCAGTTTGCCTACATTTCAACTAATTTCACTAGGTACCTGCAACCTCTAGGTAACACAAGTATTGACTAACTCTGTCCATCAAGTCTTTGACAGTATTAACTAAACCGAGACATCATGACTCTCCTCCACTTCATTGACCACTATATGTTTGCTACCTACCAAGTATGAAACAGAGTTCGACTACTGCTTATGGAAAGATCTGTTCATTTTGTATTTTCAGCCCGTCTATCGATTGAATCAGGGACTGAGCTCTTGTTGACAGACAAAAGAAGAGGGAATACGAATAGGGGAAGAGCAACTCTACTCATAGAAAGACATAACGAACATGCAAGATCTATTAATAAGCCCGAGCCAATGCAATATTTCTACAAACTACAACAAATAAAGTTGAGCATTACCTGTCATTCCCGTCTTTCCAGACATGATTGTACTCCTGAGCGAAGATAAAAACAGAAGTAAAGAATAAGAAATGAGATTGACAAACTTATATCGAATTTAGAAGCATCTATCCTGTTTTAGAAAACAGAAAAAAACATCACAAGAAACTTAAAGTTACCTTGAATCGTTGAGACTTAGCACCCAAAAAAATACAACAGTTTGCAGCTCCACAGAGACAACGAACAGTTGCACCAGCGTACCACTCAAAATAATAATTAATTGTCAGCTCCATTCCAACAGATATATCCTTCATTGCAAATATTCCTAATCTTGTTTCCCCTAACACAGTCCATTTCCTCGTTTCACAATTTGGTCGGCTGGGAAATTCAACAACATACAGTATCAGTACTATCAATCGACACCAATTAACCATCATAATGTGCCACGGACTGACCAAGATGATTGACAACCGTTGATTCAGCACTTACCATGAATGATTTAAGAATCTTGCAAAATTTCCCTTCCGCGTTGAGTCAATGACATAATTAGTATCTATAGAAATCATGTACGTGTCCTTGACCTCTGCGCCACAAATCATATGAAATTAGTACTGATCCGTAGATGAACTATTGACAACCATCTCTGATGTCGATAACTTACCATGAGCTTCATAAACATGAGACCGTTTTTTTGCTGCTTCAGATGATATCACTTCTCCACAGTATTCAATGATGAACTGTCCTGCCTAATAATGTAAAAAGAGTTTTAAAAAAATGCAGTTACCGCGCAAAAGCCTCAGTTCTGGAACTTTTTCTTCACATAAACGTCTATATATACAGAATTACCTTTATATTCTCATCAGCTAAAAGACCCCAACCACGTCCGTTAGTTCTGAACAACTTAGTTTTTGCATATTCACGTTTCTGGAATATCTGTTGTATGTTTATAAATCGATAAGATCAATATGAAAGTATATATACTAATAAAAAGAGAAACAACAGAGCAAATGTTTCAACTAATTAAGTGAATCATCTAATTTTACCTGATTTTTGCAAGTATCACCACACTGACAGTATCCCGGTGTACATTCAGTGTTGGTTAGTACATTCAAACATCTTTCTACACACGCACTTTCTGGATCACTAGTATCATACTTGCATTGACAAATAGCAATATCGTCTTCTTTCAGTTTCTTATGTCTGTTAAGTTAAAGGATTCTTAAAAGAAAATGCAGTTATAAACCGGAAGGGAGATCATTGTTAAATGATACAAAGAAAAAGATATGAACTCACTTTCGTCTTAAAAATACATTTTGAGTAATATGAATAAATGGCATTACTCCTTCTGGCAGTTGGACCTTCAAAAAAACGAAAAAAAAGGTAACAATTCACCTCATTAATTACTTGATGTAAATAAAATGGTATACTGTAATGCATTACTATTATACAGTATTATCCTACCGAATATACAACACACAATAAGCAAATCAAAAATCAAACAACTAATTGATTACATAAACTATTTCATCCATATGTTATTCAATAAGTCCAATTTTTCGATAAGTAAATTTAATTAATAAGACGGTGCTGGAACTGTAGAACACGTCCATTAATTTTTTTTAAAAGCAGCACTAATACGTACCACATTGCTTATGTCTTCGCCTGAATGCATCATCTATGCAACCTTTGTCAGAAATCTGGAGAACTCCAAAAACTCAACAAAGTAAAAGATTTTCATCAATTTCATATTCAAGTACAAGATCACGCACACACAAGAAAGAAAAATTAGTCATCAATGGATGTGACTATTAACTAAAAATGGTCCATTTTGTGCTTCTTGTTATGGAAATGCAAATGTGACCACCAAGAATAAAATGTTCATTTTCTTGCTCTTACATATGAATAAGTAAAAACTAGAAAAGTATGATTCCCTTCAACCAAGAATTTGGACTCAAAAGAAATAATTCAAATTTTAGAAATCTCTTAAACATAGAATTACCAAATTTTAAAAATCCTACACACTGGCTTAACATATATATAAGAAAAAGACAATCTGATGCACTAAGTTTTCACTATGCGCGGATCTTGAGAAGACATGTATGAATCGAACTCAATGATAATTTCAAGACATTTCAAGCATACTGTACATTTGACTAAAACATATTATCATGAATTAAAGTACAAAATGACAATACATATACAACATACAATAATATTTAACATAAAAAGGCAATAAATTATGAAATGGAGAAATTTGTATGAACTAAGAAGAAGAAAAGTATATAGAGTGGACCTTTGAATGTATTAATTTCGATTCTTTTTCAGTCTCTCCTTGTTTGTTTATGTCTTCTTTTTGTTTTTTTTCGTTATCCAGAAAATTAAAACGGTTTATGCTTAGTCTATTTAAAGACAAAAAAATGGTGATGTGTCAATTGTTAATTGGAGGAAGTTAAATGTACAGTTGGTTGTTTTTAAAAGTTAGTTTTCTTTTTGAATTTTATTTTGTGTTTTGTATTTTTTTAAAAGACGAAGAGATAAGTACCAAGAGAAAAATAGTAGTTAATTATTTTTAGATTAATGGAATATAGAAAAATTAAAATCTAGAGCAAAATAAATACAATGTCACAAAAAAATAAACGAAAAATGCTAGCATATTTATCAAACTAATTAAAAGCTAGACCAAAATAAATACAATACTGTCACCAAAAAAACGAAAAATTGCTAACATATTTACTAAACTAATCAATTTTATTTTTTTTGTAAATTTTATTTCTTTTGAAATTTAAAACAAAATTTGCAGTCCTTAAATGTGACTTTTTTTGCTGTTGTTTTTACTTTTCACAGGTAAATCCTTTTAAAAATAAAAAAAATATAACTTTTGAAATTTATTGTCATAACATTTGTATAACTATAGACGCATCCTCATTCTGAATTGCTTAAAGAAAATTATATTATAGATTTACAATTGAGCCGTACATATTATAATTCCCCTCTGTATATTTGTTTCACTAACAGAGTAAAAAGCAAAAGGTACATTGTGAATGCACAAAACTATTCAAACCTTTTAGGTTACTCCAATGTCGGAGGAAGTGTGAAGAAATTTTGTGTTCGAATCTATGGTTATGAGTAGACAGAGAGTTGACAAGTTCGATCAATTTTAGGTTACTCATGAAACATGACGGGGTTTTAGAAGTATAGAGATCAATCAGAAGTAGAATAATAACAACATCCAATCATCAGTTATATATAGCCTGAATGACTACGTTAAAACTCTGATCAAACACAGCAAGAGAAGCAACTCAAACACGCATTGCCTGTTTGAGGTCCGGTTCCTTCTTCAGCATTGGCTGTTTGAGATCCGGTTCCTCCTTCAGAAGGCCCTGCAGCAGTGGCATCGGTTGCTGGAATTAGAGGGAACGTCGCATTCTTGATCATAGAAAAGTAAAGATCAAACTCTGCTTTGTATTTTGAGCATTTTGCTTCGAAGTGGCTTCATTTCTTATGCCCTGCATCACATTAGCATAAAGTGTTGAGAAAAAATACAATTAGATTTTCCTTACACAAAATGGCAAAAAGTAATTGATCATCACTACTTTTCGCATTCCCTCATAGATGCTAGTCCAAAATCCACTTATAGATGCTAAAAGTATTACTACCTTCCAAGGATTGTCAACAACACATCACAATTCCATGTTTGAACATTCCTTAGAGTACATCGATAACTTAATTATATCATCTAGTTAATGAAGAAGGACACAAACTTTCTTACAAGTTTAAGTAGCAAGTGTATGAAAATGAGCGAAGATGTAGGGAGATCATCATCAAAAGAAGCAAAATGAAGATTTGAGCTTACTTTCGCCCTAAAAGTTCATTTTGAGTAGTTTGAACAGATGGTGGTGTTACTCCTTCCGGCAGTTGGACCTTCAAAAAAGAAAAAGGAAACAATTCACCGCATTACTTGATATAAATAGGGGCATACTGTAATGAATAATCACTTATATAGAAGCAAAGAGGCCGCATTTATTATACTTGCTCCATTAACATTACTATATAGAGTGTTATCCTTGCAAATATACAACTGACAATAAGCAAATAAAATATCATATAGCTAAATTGATTACTTAAGCCATCTCATCGGTGTGTGCATTATCCTGTTTTGATGTATCAAAGGCGGGTGAAGTAACTTGATACCTTGAATGAAGTACCTAGTTACCATCAATGTCTCATTCTAATTACCATTGTTAGACATCAACCATCTTCATTTCGGCCTACTTTAAATATCTAACACCCATGCACAAAGCATCTGGCGGTGTTCATGCAGGGTCCCAAGAAGGGTTGGTCAAGCTACTTGCGCTTGTCTGATCCAATTATTTATCCGCTCTTTATAAGAGACACGCACTCCAAGGGATGTGATGCAGATATCGTACACTAATGCACTCAGTTTTTTTTTGTTTTTGTTTTTCAATTTGGGGCAGGGGATTACTTGTGGTCCGGCGCTTCCCAGATATCATGCATAGAGGAAGATTAGTGCATGGATCTAACTCATCAATAGGTACCAAGATATATTGAATACCAAAAGGAGTATGTTCTCAAATCCAAAATCAAAAAAAGAACAATCAGACCAAAATACTCTCTGAAACGCCCTCCTACAACACATCTAATTTTCATTAGATCTTCTTAGAAGGTAATTCATAAAATACTAACTCTTACTTCTTCGAACTTTTCATTGTTCTTCTTTTCATCATATATTAAATATAAAAAAATGTGGATTTTGTCAAAGATCGGGAAAAGTGAGGACCGGGAAGAAAAGCTCGAGGAAGCTAGAGTTAGAATTTTATGAATGATCTTAGCTTCTTCAAGAAGATTTAACCAAAATCAGATGCGCCGCAAGAGGCCGTCTCAAACAACTATATTTTCGTTTGATTTTACTTGTTTGATTCTGGATTTTGAGATCATACTCCTTTTGGTATTTGATATATTTGGATACATATTAATGAGTTAAATCCATACCTATTAACAAATAATAAATTTTACCCTTCAGTTTAGGTGTTTGTTATTAGTTTCTTATAATTTAGCTATATGTAGTTAGTCATCTTTCCTATTTAGGACTTTGATAGTTTCAGTTATTCTAGGTTTATGTTGGTATTGTACTGTTGGAATGTATGCGTCAACTACTGATCACAGGACCAGGTTCCCAAACAGAATAAAGTGCGGAAAATAAATAGCTCACAGTAAATCAGGCACAATGATTTTACGTGGAAACTCCCTTGCTCAAGGGCGGTGAAAACCACGACCTGTACTCACAGGATTTCAACCCAAACTCCATTTCATACAAACGGAGCTAAGTTTCAGATTACAAACTCTTGCAACCTAGGAATTAAAACTCTTTAATCCCTTCCCCCTTACTGTAGCAACTCTACTACAAAGGAAAACTAAGCAATAACTCTATTGATCTAGACTTAATAACACATGTTGACGAGAAGCGTTATGGAGTTAACGATAGACTGAAAGATTCGAGACAGACCTTATTAGAATCTAAAGGTATCATGTTAAATAGGATTAAAACAAAGTACCTGAAGTGCAAGTCGGGACTATAGTTAGAAATAAAACACGTGAAAGATGCAATCACATATTAAAATTTTTTCATGTTTGGTTCAATTTTGAAAAATATTTTCTTTAGAAACACAAATGTGCAATTACTCTCTCTACATCGTTCGATATCTTAGTATGCTCATTTTATCCACTACATCCAGAGATCACATAAAAAAGAATCATTCTCACCCGAGTCATAAAGTGAAACGTCCTCCACCATATATCTGCATTAGGTAAAAGTTGTAGCATCCAAACTATAATATATCGTAGGCAATTTTCTCAGACGAAACTCATAAAGCTAAAGCACTACCTGGGACTTCTTCTATGATGCCATGTAAAAAAAATAATTTATCATCAGTTCACTAATACTGTCTTCTCTTGATGTACTGTCATTAATGTCACAAAAAAACATTACGTACATGTCATCAAAAAAACAATCATCACTTCATGTGACGCATAAATTATCTAGAGTATATTTGGAATGCATAATTACATCATACATGAACCGTAAGATTTGGATCTGAACTCTTCAATCTTTTTCCGTTTCACCCAAGGAAGGTGTTTTTGAGACTTGCAAGACTTAAATTGAAAAATAACCCGTAAACCAAGTAAAAATTGCTAAATAAAGAAAGCATGAAAGTATGTGCATGGAGACAAATCCTCAATAGGTATCCAAATATATAAAATTCCAAAAGGAGTTTGTTCTCAAAATCCCTAATCAAACAAGTAAATCTAGACCAAAATAGTTGTCTGAAATGCCCTCCTATGACACATTATTTTCATTAGAACTTCTAGGTAATTCATAAAATGCTAACTCATGCTTTCTCGAACTTTTCTCCTTGATCTTTCTCTTTCCCTTATTTATTGTTATTCTTTTCACAATATATTAAAAAAAAAGGCTGGGGGGTTAGAGAACAACTTTACAACCCTTTCACTTTTTTCGAGTTCAAATACGGATAAATTAGTTTGAGAGTGAAACGGTGCATCTAGTTAATTAAGTGTCAATATGAATTGGTACTTTTAGAAAAGTTGCTCTAGTTGTAAATTTGTATTACCACACTAGAGAAACTATTTCTAAAAAGGAACAACTTATGTTGGCACTTGGTTAAATAGATGCATTATTTCACTACCAAATTTTGTAAGTATCTGAAGACGAGAAAAGTGATAGAGTGTAAAATCATTTTCTTAAACCTTCTAGCCTCTTTTAATATACTATCAAAAGAAGAACAGTGAAATAAGGGAAAGGTAAAGATTAGGGGGGAAAGTTTGAGGAAGTAAGAGTTAGAATTTTACTTATTACCTTCTTCAAGAAGATCTAATCAAAATTAGATGAACCACATGAGGATGTTCCGTACAACTATTTTGGTCTGATTTTACTTGTTTGAATTTGGATTTTGAGAACACTTTTGGAATTTGATATATCTAGAAACTTATTGATGAGTTATATCCATGCACTTATCTATTTTCTTTGCTTAGCATATTTTACTTGGTTTACATATTATTTTTCTTCTATTAAAGTCTTGTCTCAGCGACACTTTCATTGGGTGAAACAAAATGAATTTGAAGATCGTAGATCTAAAACTTATCGTTTCTGTATAATGTAATTATCCATTCCAAATGTTCTCTAGATTATTTATGTATTATATGAAGTGAATATCCTTTTTTATGACTAAAACATTAAGTGATAATGTCATGCAATCATGTGGACTTAATTTTATGTGATAATGTCAAATTTCTCTAAAGCAGGTTCATTCAATTCGATTGACTCGAATGTTTTGAACACTGGTAAATATTTTTAAAAATTAGAATTCCCCATTCGACCAAAAGATAAATATATGAAAATAATCTTGAGAGACAGAAGAAAAAAAAAGAAGAACAACCTTATGCCAAAAAAAAATATTTAACTCAATGTATGTTTACATAAAGTATTTTTAAAAAAAAGGTAGACCTAGGTATTATACACTAGAGGTATGAAATGAGTGCTTCATGTATATGTTTAAGGTTTGAAAAAAAAATCATCTAATGCTGGTAAACATGAACATTATTTTATATAACATCAAAATTACCCCATCAATAAAAATAATTAATCCATCAAAATATTATTATTTTTTAAAAAAAAACAAATTTCTCAAAAGCATTTTCATTCAATTTCATCGAATGAAATTTCTCCAACAACGAAAAGTGTTACAAAAACATATCATGACATGATAATTCCCCATTAAACCAAAGAAAAAGAAACAACAAATTTTGAGAAGAAAAAAAGTAGAACAATCTATGTTAAAAAAGAGTTGATCAAATATATGTTTAATGATTGAAAAAACAAGGGGGAGAAGAGTGAAATTCATCATACATTTGCTACAAGTAAATAGGTTTTTTCGAAATTTGAATTGGTAAGAATAAACTATAAACACAACTATTAATACTTAGATCTTGAACACATATATAATATAGTGAAATACATGAAAGGATCGTGTGTACCTTTAATATTTGGCATATCAATGAACAACCGAAGACGGACTAGGCTAGATCTTCCTTTTCTTAAGCTTATGACGGCTGACACCTTATGAAAATGCATTTTAGGTTAAGTCAAAAGAGAGGATATAGGCTCATATTTATAAGCTTAAAAGTTTTAACCTAGTGTCTCCAATTATGGTCTCATTGGACTTCAAGAGGCATACACAATTGTCAGCCCACACCTATGACATGAAATGAATATACACCCATATGAAATCCACACAAATACATGACCCGTGTTGTGCAACTGCTAACAATTAGCCCATTTTACTAAAACTTAATAATAAGATAATGTTAAGTCCACAATTAATAAATAATTCTAACATTCTCCCACTTCGACAACATTAACTTAATTATAGTTTTTTTCAAAAAAAATATTATTTTATAGAAATTGACTCTTGGACTGTATTGATATGGTATTCGACCCAATAATAGTATGTATCAGTGTGGTACCCAATCTAATAATAATATGTACCAACAGTGTTTTCAAAAATATTTTTGGGGTGAGTCTTGGGGTAGAGCGTACCAAAAACGCTCCAGGGCGCAAATTGAAGATGAAGATCCATAGAGTAAGTCTTAGAATTTGGGCGTAAGCTCCAAGCATAAAACGTAATTAGTCCTGGGAGTAAAAACGTACGCCTGAGCGTTTTTTCTTTTTTGGTTTCTGAACCTTTTTTGCTTTAAATTAGATTATTTATTATTGGTGTAATGATTTACTTTTACCTATTTTCTTAGTAATAAAATTATAAACTTGACTATACATGAGACTACACCCCGTAGCTTCATAAGACTTACGTCCCATGTCTTGGGGCTTACATCTCGCTCTGTATTGCATAAAACATCTCGCCTCACGCCCGCCTTTTAAAACATTGTGTACCGGCGCGGTACCCAATCCAATAATAGTATGTACATGCGTAGTACTCAATCCAATCATCAATCACACGTCATAATTACAATCACAATAACAATAACCCTTATACACACAAGTAAACACATTCATTGCATGCAATTGACAACAATTAACAATTCAGTTTACATTCATTTTATTTCCTTAATCCATACCTTATACAAGCAATACTAATAACGCAGTTGACAAACACATTTAACAGAAAACTGAAAAACAAACAACTATCACATACTGGAGAGAATTCCTTCTCAAATATTTCCTTATCACAATCTGATTACCCACAATTACCTTCTCTATGATAACACCCAGTAAACATCATAATTTCAACAATAACTAATCAAGCCCACCATCAGTCAAAACCACAGCTAACCATACATTCAACTATACAGTGTCCGTGGACCTATGTATGAAATCTCCCGATAATTTACTAGATATTATAAAAGTAAATATAGGTTTAAGTACTCAGTTAAGAAAAATCTAGCAGACATGGACGTCAAGCACTTGTTGAACAACACTAATCAGAAGCTTCTGGCTCCGTAGGGGGAATCCTGACGAACGTAAATCAAAATCATTGGATTTTAACCTCTCCTTTGCAGTAAATCTCTCCCCTCCATTGTTCTCGAGCTTAGAGCGACTTAAGAGAATTTTTGGAGTAACCCTCCATATTTTTCCTCTTCCCAAAATTGGAAGGAAAATAAAAGACATCGTTTGATCTAGGGTCTGATTCCATCAGCCCGCTATAGCTTCCATGCAGGCGCTATAGCGCCTTGTCGTAGAGGGAGATGTCCCACTATGGCGGGCTGATGTTAGCCCAGATCAAATCAAATTTAAAGAATTTCATCGTGTGCCTCAATTTTAAATTTGGCATCGAATTTTCAGAATTTTTGAGATTTCGCACCAGGTGCCTTTTGAATAACCACAGATCAAGTCGTTACATCCCATTGAGGGTTAGCGTGGGTGTCACTCACGACGGGCCAGGATCGTGAGAAAAACTCACCTCGCTCTCTTTCAAATGTTTATTCCTCTTTTTTACTATGCTCAAACTCAAATCTTCTACCAGTATATGCAAACATCCTAATTTCTAGCGACCCAATGTCACCACAAGTATGAATCAAACTTATTAATAATTCAAGACATTTCATTCAAAAATCAAAATCACAAATGATTAAAATATCCAACAAGATATCTAACACATTCAGTAAAGTCAAAACCTAATTTTATTAAATTAACTTAGCAATTTTATTTAATTGGTTACCCACTGCATGTTTGACTCTTCAATTATACTACTGTAATAACATTATGAAAAATAAATATATCTTTGTAATTAATGAAGTTGTGTGATTATTAGATAGTAATCAGACTTTCCAAACATAACCTAAATCTTATTTTGTGGAAGAAAAGAGAGAAAGATAAATGTTGCAGCTTCTGCAAATAATATAACAGGTTTTGAAAAGTTTAGCATTAATAACACATGACATAGTGTTGATTGACCAAAAGCGTTGTGGAGTTAATGATAGACTGAAAGATTCGAGACAGACCTTAATTAGAATCTAAAGGTTTCATGTTAAACAGGATTAAAACAAAGTACCTGAAGTGCAAGCTCAGGACTATAGTTAGGAATAAAACACATGAAAGAAGCAATCGCATATTACAATTTTTTCATGTTTGGTTCAATTTTGAAAAATATTTTCTTTAGAAACACAAGTTCCTTAAACAAAAATGACTTCCTGAGGGAAAACAAGTGTTGGAAAAACGCGGACTAACACAAAAATATATATGGTCAAATGATAGAAATAAAAATGGGGAAAATAATGACACCAAGAATTTTACGTGGAAACCCTTTTAAATAAGGGAAAAACCACGGGCTGGCCAAGAGGAGCAACTGATATCACTATAGTAAGAAATTTACACCGTGTAGTCACGAATACAATACTCAAAGTGACTACTACACACTCAAAAGGAATAGCACTCTTTTGATTTCCACCTTACTAAAATACCGCTCACACTCTATTTTTCTTCACTGACTATTTTTCTTGTATAGTCTATGGAATACCTCACTTTTCTCTCAAAATGGTTTTTTCTCTCTAACTTGGTGTGTTCTACAAATGAGCAAGAATGCTCTATTTATAGAAGGAGAAAATCATGCCTATGTCACTAATGACATAGGCAAATGTAGTAAAGTCCAAAGGGTTGCAAATCTTACCAATTTGCCAACCACCAAATCTTTTATTTTCAACTCTTATCACTATTCCTTTTTAACAATTACTTGTAGCAATTGAGTAAAAAAAATTGACCAAAAAATATGGGATGGACTCCACAAATCTCCCCCTCCAATCCCATTTACCAGAATGAGGTATCTCCAATTTCTTTAGAGAGAGCTCATACCCACAAGTTCTTTGCATAACTCGAATTTGTCTTTTGGTATTGTCTTGGTCAACATATCTGCAGGATTTTCACTTGTGTGGATCTTTTTCACGTGAAATGATTCACTCTCCACTTCCTCACGAATCCAATGATATCTGACGTCGATGTGTTTTGTTCTTGCATGGTACATGGAGTTCTTGCTCAAGTCTATTGCACTCTGGCTATCACAATAGATAATATACTCTATCTGATGCAAACCAAGCTCTTGAAGAAATCGCTTGAGCCATATCATCTCCTTGCCGACTTCAGTAGCCGCAATATACTCAGCTTCATTTGTAGATAGTGCAACACACTTTTGCAACTCCGACTGCCATGATATAGCTCCCCCTGAAAAAATAAACAAATATCCAGTAGTGGATTTTCTGTTATCAAGGTCACCTGCCATATCAACATCTGTATAGCCCTTCAAGATTGGATCCGATGCTCCAAAACACAAGCATTCATCTGAGCTTCCTCTAAGATACCGGATTATCCACTTTACAGCTTCCCAATGCTCTTTTCTCGAATTGTCAAGAAATATGCTGACAACACCAACTGCGTGAGCAATATCAGGTCTAGTGCATACCATTGCATACATTAGACTTTCGACGATGGAGGAATATGGAACTTTGGCCATGCTCTCTTTTTCCTCCTTAGCTGTAGGACACATCTTCTTGCTCAACTTCATATGACCAGCAAGAGGTGTGCTAACAGACTTAGCATTCTTCAGAAGCGCTCTAGTACACGTTCAATGTACTTCTTCTGTGACAAATAAATCTTTCTTTCATCTGAGACGAGTAATTCTCATGCCCAAAATTTGTTTGGCATGACCCAAGTCTTTCATAGCAAAAGACTCACGCAACTCTTTCTTCAACTCGTCAATCTTGTAAGTATCCTTTCCCACAATCAACATATCATACACATACAACAAGAGGATGATAAAATCATTGTCAGAAATTTTTTGTACAAATACACAATGATCTGATGAAGTTTTCTTATAGCCTTGCTCCCCATAACAAATTCAAACTTCTTGTACCACTGTCTAGGAGCTTGCTTTAGGCCATAAAGACTCTTTCTGAGTTTGCACACAAAATTTTCTTTACCTTCTACTTTGAAGCCCTCAGGTTGTTCCATATAAACTTCTTCTTCTAGGTCACGTGAAGGAAAGCCGTCTTCACATCCATCTTCTCAATCTCTAAATTAAGACTAGCAGCCAAACCTAGAACTAGGGGTGTTCATGGTTTGGATAAAAATTGATCCAAACCAAAAAACCAAATCAAACCGATTTACTTTGGGTTTTGGTTTGGTTTGGTTTTAGATTGTTAAAAACCGATAGTATTTGGTTTGGTTATGGTTTTGTTCGAAAAAAATCGAAGAAATAATCGAACCGAACCAACAAGTTATATACATAAATTTTATTATTATACATACATAATATATTATATTCATAAACAATTTTAAAGATTTTATATATGTTTCATCAAAAAAATTTATAATTTACTTATGAAAGAAAAAATGTCCAAGGTGAGAACATTTTTCTTATTGGTTTCATGTATATGAGCGTCTATGAAAATTCTTTGTGGGTCTGAAATGTCATTGTCTCTTCCTTCTATGCCAAAATAGTGAATTTTGAAGTTTTATTCAGTAAATTCAATGATTCAATGATCGAAAGTTTTGTAATGCCAGTCATTCTAACTTTTTTTTTGTTTGGATGGATTGTTGTCACTCTTTTCACGTTTTGAA